TTTTCTTTACACATATTTAAAAACAATGACACCCCTGGGGCAGGGCCAGTTTTGACCCCAGGGCTTTTATTTGAACAATCTTTGTAGGCACTTACTAGAAGATGTTTCATGCTTAATATCTACACTCTAGCTATTCGGGTTTTTTCGAAGAAGATTTTTAAGTTTTTGCTATACACATATAAGGAAAATCAATGTCCCCCGGGGCGGGCCAATTTTGACCCCTAGGGCTCTTATTTGAACAAACTTGGTAGACATCCATTAGAACATGTTTCATGCTAAATATCTTAGCTCTAGCTCTTTGAAAAAATATGACTTGATAGATAATTGAACCTGTGTTCATCTTAAAAACGTCAAAAACCAAAAAAAAAAAATGTAAATTATGACCCCCTTAAAAAACATACTATAAGTTATAGAAGGCCGGAAACTCCAGATTCGAGCCTACGAGCAAAGGGATTCATTTCCCGGGCTGTTGTGAAAACAATTGTCCAGACATTTAAAAACAAGAGCCCGGTTTGAGCCAGGTGATGCTCCCCGAATAGGTTTTGGACACAGGAAAGTACACCTCTTGTAGTTTCAGAGTTATGTCCATGGAAAAAGTTCAAAGTGCAATAATTCCAAAATGAGGAAAGGCAAAGTTACTGTTCTTTGCACTGCATTTCTAATCACTGTTATCTATCAACTTACCAAGTTTCTTGTTGATATCTCTTATGGTTTCCGAGTTATGTTCCAGACAACTTCAAAAAGTAAAAATAAACAAAGGGCAATAACTCCAGAATTAGGCAAAACAGAGTTATGATTCTCGTGCACTGCACATCTACCCATTGAGATACATCTACCTACAAAGTTTCATGTTGATATCTCTTATAGTTTTACAGCTATGTCCAGTACAAGATTTTTCTTAAAGGGGAGATAATTCAAAAATGAGGCTTAACAGAGTTATGTTTTTTTTTGCACTGCACTTCTACTCAATGAGATCTATTTACCTATAATGTTTCATCTTGATATCTCTTATAATTTTAGAGTTATGTTCCGGACAAAGTTCACTGTTAAAATTAACTAAGGGCAATAACTCCAAAATTAGGACAAAAAGAGTTATTATTCTTATGCACTGCACATCTACCCATTGAGATCTATTCACCTACAAAGTTTCATGCATGTTGATATCTCTTATAGTTTTAGAGTTATGCCCCGGACAAGATTTTTCTATAAGGGGAGATAATTCAAAAACCCGGCAAAATAGAGTTATGGTTCTTTGACACTGCACATCTACACATTGAGATCTATTCACCTACAAAGTTTCATGTTGATATCTCTTATAGTTTTAGAGTTATGCCCCGGACAAGATTTTTCTATAAGGGGAAATAATTAAAAAATGAGGCTTAACAGAGTTATGGTTCTTTTGCACTGCACTTCTACTCAATGAGATCTATCTACCTACAATGTTTCATCTTGATATCTCTTATAGTTTTAGAGTTATGTTTTGGACAAAGTTCAAAGTGTTGAAATAAACAAAGGGCAATAACTCCAAAATTAGGACAAAAAGAGTTATTGTTCTTATGCACTGCACATCTACCCTTTGAGATCTATTTACCTACAAAGTTTCATGTTGATATCTCTTATAGTTTTAGAGTTATGCCCCGGACAAGATTTTTTTATAAGGGGAGATAATTCAAAAACCGGGCAAAATTGAGTTATGGTTCTTTGACACTGCACTCCCCCTCAATGCCCTCTACCACTGTATGAAGTTTAAACAAATTATCTCCAAAGGTTTTCAAGTTATGCTCCGGACAAGAAAACAGACGGACAGACAGACAGACAAGGCGCCGACTATATGCTCCCCCGAAATTTTTCGGGGTGCATAAAAACTTTTATCACTATTTAACGTTTGTATTAAGCTTCCAAATGAGACCGACCCCAAGTCTCTAGCCCTTCCCATTCATGAAATATCTATCAGGAATTTGGAGCGTATTCGTGCTAAAAATCCTTGGTAGACAAAATTGCAGCACAACAATTCGGTACATAAACAAAGACTAATACATGTTTGCCAGCCGAGTATGGGTCATAATCATATTGTCACTGGGTGCAATAACTCACTTAATGTATATGTATTTTATAATTACTTATTAATGTATTTTCATTTTATTGTAAATAGGCCATCAAAAAGGCTGTATGAATTGGATAGTGGCACTGATGAGAATGAGACAGACAGAGAGAGTAGGCCACCACAAGTTATTGACCAAGCAATAGAGGTGCAACGATACCTTTCGATGCATCGAAAACCGGTTTTATGAGCGCCGATTCGATTCCCGATACCAACTGTAACATTTTCGATTCGATTCCCCACCCACAAATAAACATGGAAAAAAGTGAGAGTTTTAGTCTTTCCCTTCGCGCTTCATCAAGTTACATACAATTGGCAAGTTAAAACTCAGTCATCCAATCAGTGGGCGCGTAATGTTTTATTTTCGGCAAACAAGTCAAAATGGCTACCAACATCAATGTTGATAAAATAAAATTAAAAATTCCTCCTAAAAAATTAAAATCAAAAGTTTGGGAACATTTTGGGTTTCGGGAAGGCCAGGAAACGGATAAAGCTACTTGCAAAGTATGCTTTACGGACGTGTCATATCCAAAGTCCTGCAGTACGTCTAATTTAATGCAACATATGAAACAAAAACACGAACACGATCATGGATGTGGACTTGTTTTGTAAGCTTTATCCGTGTCCTGGCCTTCCCAAAATAAGTTTGATTAGTACTACAGTAAGTAGGCATATTTGGGATTGATGATTATTTCTTTAGTCAAGTGGGAAAAAAAGTGATAATTTCATGAATTTCATTTTTTCTGTGTTGTTTACTAGACTAAGAAGTATTGTGTGACAACACTGACATTAGGATTGATTATTCATTTTACATTTTATGGGAATTAATTTATAAACAGAATATCTGAATATTCATTTTACATATTATGGGAATTATAAACAGAATATCTGAATATCAGTTCTGACAACCTTGTGAAACTTTGTTCATTATTATTTACTTTACAATTTACATACTTTGTTAAATTTCTAGTCAGTAGTTAGCAGAAGGTATCTGTGATAGTCATGTTACTGAGATTAATGATTATTTGCCTGATTAAAATTATTTTCCAAATAGACAAGAGCTTTTTATTCTCATAAACACAATTATTAAGTCAAATAAGTTTATACAAGAAACATGGCAATGCCATGAAACCAGGTTTTCAATTATCACCATTGTAGATAAATATGTTGTATTTGAAATACAAATACAAGCAACAAACAATGTAACTATGTGCAATGTAAAACATGAATAATGTAGGAGGAATTGCGCACAGAAGAAGTGTTCACTATATATATTCTGTATAAGGAAAAAAAACAAAGGGCCATAATTAGGTAAACAAGAACCGGTTGAACGGGTGATGCTCCCCGAGAAGGTTCTGGACACAGGAAAGTATAAAAAAAATGAACAAAGGGCAAAAACTCCAAAATTAGGCAAAGCGGTGTTATGTTTTTTTGCACTGCACTTCTATTCAATGAGATCTATCTATCTATAAAGTTTCCTGATGATATCAGAATTATGTCCCAGGTAAAAGTCAAAGTGTAAAAATGAACAAAGGGCAATAACTCCAAAATTAGACCAGGCTTTGTTTAGGTTCTTTAAGCATTGCAATTCTATCCAATTATATCTAGCTACCTACAAAGTTTCATGTTGATATCTCTAATAGTTTTAAAGTATTGTCCAGGACAAAGTCAAAAAGTAAAAATAAACAAAGGGCAATTACTTCAAAATACGGCAAGGCAGAGTTACGGTTCTTGTGCATTGCACTTCCACCCAATGAGACCTATCTATCTACAAAGTTTCATGTTGATATCTCTTATAATTTTAGAGTAATGTCCCAGACAAAGTCAAAGTGTCAAAATGAACAAAGGGCAATAACTCCAAAAGTAGGCAAGGCAGAGTTACCGTTCTTGTGCACTGCACACCTACTCAATGAGATCTATCTACCTACAAAGTTTCATGTTGATACCTCTTATACTTTTAGAGTTATGTCCCGGACAAAGATCAAAGTGTAAAATAAACAAAGGGGGATAATTCAAAAATAAGACAAGGCAGAGTTACCGTTCTTGTGCACTGCACACCTACTCACTGAGATCTATCTACCTACAAAGTTTCATGTTGATACCTCTTATACTTTTAGAGTTATGTCCCGGACAAATTTCAAAGTGTAAAATAAACAAAGGGGGGTAATTCAAAATTAGGCAAGGCAGAGTTACAGTTCTTGTGCACTGCACACCTACTCAATGAGATCTATCTACCTACAAAGTTTCATGTTGATACCTCTTATACTTTTAGAGTTATGTCCCGGACAAAGTTCAAAGTGTAAAATAAACAAAGGGGGATAATTAAAAAATTAGGCAAGGCAGAGTTATGGTTCTTGTGCATTGCACACCTACTCAATGAGATCTATCTACCTACAAAGTTTCATGTTGATACCTCTTATACTTTTAGTGTTATGTCCCAGACAAAGTTCAAAGTGTAACAAGTTAAAATCATGTAAACAGGATTTTCAATGTTAATGTCACTGTGACCTTGACCTTGGAGCCAGCCATGCGGAACATGCGTTCTGCACGTCATCTTGATGTGGTAAACATTTGTCTGAAGTTTCATCAAAATTCTTCAAAGGGTTGAAGAGTTACAGAGCGGACAGGATTTTCAATGTTAATGTCACTGTGACCTTGACCTTGGAGCCAGCCATGTGGAACATGCGTTCTGCACGTCATCTTGATGTGGTAAACATTTGTCTGAAGTTTCATCAAAATTCTTCAAAGGGTTGAAGAGTTACAGAGCGGACACAATTTCGTTTGACGCCCGCCCATCCGCCCATCCGCCCGCCATACCCCAATCTAATAACCAGGATTTTCAAAATTGAAAACCTGGTTAATAATAGTTATATTACAACAGAAAAGCAAAGCACTAGGTTGAAGGCCACTCACTTTTGGAACAGACAAGCAGAATTATTATACCAAAGATAAATTAGTAATCAAAAATGTATCGAATCGAAAAAAATCGAATCGAAGTGTCTAAAATCGAAATCGAATCAAATCGAACATTTGGTGTATCGTTGCAGCCCTACCAAGCAACAACGCCCAAACAAGCACAAAGCCTACTTTCACCTTCACCTCGCTTATCTGCACAGGCATTGCGAGAGGCCAGTAAGTATAAACTTCGGAGCTGTAAATATATTCATTACAGTACAGTCATACTTATTAAATGTTCTATCCTAAAACAAGCCAATAAATGTAATAACAAGTTAGATTGAGTGACACAACCAAAAATGTAAAGTTTCACATTGTGACGCCCCTAGTTAAAAAAATATTCAAAATAAATTGATGATTACTTGTGTTAGTCTTTATCATGATGTGAATTTGTGCGCCTATTCTTGCCTGACTGTTGGCCCACTTAACTGTTATCCAAAGTTAAGGTCCCTGGAATAGTCAAAAATGTTTATTTTCACCAAATGACATGCCTAGCTAAACTAGAAATGTGTCCATAGGACACGGATGCCCCCACACGCCACAGTGTTCTGTCAATCTTATGACTCTAGGTCAAATATTTTTTGGACTACATGTGCCACAAGTTGAAAACTAAAAATCAACAAAAAGCCATAATTCTGTTAAATTTGGTCGCAGCACAAATTCCTTCCTTTACTACCATCTACACATTAAGGTTGTTAATCCCTGGAAGTTTAAGCAAAATCTGCCATCCGGTTTAAGAGGAGTTGCGTTCACAAAATTTCTACAGAGTATATAATGAAAAAATCAACAAAGGGCCATAATTCTGTTAAATTTGGTTGCAGCAAAAATTCCTTCCTTTTTAACTTCCATTTACACATTAATATTGTTCATCCCTGGAAGTTTAAGCAAAATCTGCCATCCGGTTTAAGAGGAGTTGCATTCACAAAATTTCTACATAGTATATAGTGAAAAAATCAACAAAGGGCCATAATTCTGTAAAATCTGTTTGCAGCGAAAATTCCTTCCTTTACTACCATCTACACCTTAACATTGTTCATCCCTGTAAGTTTAAGCAAAATCTGCCATCCAGTTTAAGGAGTTGCGTCCACAAAATTTCTACATAGTATCTAGTGAAAAAATCAACAAAGGGCCATAATTCTGTTAAATTTGGTCGCAGCGAAAATTCCTTCCTTTACTACCATCTACACATTAAGGTTGTTCATCCCTGTAAGTTTAAGCAAAATCTGCCATCCGGTTTAAGAGGAGTTGCGTTCACAAGATTTCGGGACGTACAGACGGACGGACTGACTGACTGACGGATTGACGGACAAGTGCAACGCTATATGCTCCCACATTGTGGGGGCATAAAAATATGTTAAGATTAATTCATGATTTCTTATCATTTTCACATTTTGTGACCTTACACACTCAACATTCCTTTTGAGATTTTAGCGTTAATTACTGTTAAAGCCAAGGAAAAATTTAAAATACTGGATTTTTTTCATTTGTAATTCACATAGCTCTAAAAGTATATGGCCTAAAATTATGAATCCTTTTTTTTCAGCTGCTGTTACACAGATTCTCCAAGTCTTGGAGACAATGTGGGAGGAAAATCGTGAAATTAATAGGATGATGCAGCGATTGTTGTCAAGGTCAGCAGCAGATGACCAACCGCTGCAGCTTCCGGAAGATATCTCATTCCCTATTCGTTCTCCTGAGCAGATGGAAGCATTCGATGAGCTTCTGGGAGATCAGACAAAGCTGTCATCTGTGGTAAGCATAGTATTAGCCATGTATGTTGCTCCATTAGTAACTGAAACAAGTATACCCCATATTTTCTCTGGCTTAAATGCGAAAATTAACATAATGGTCTGTGGTGAGCACTTGATGATAATGTATTATTATTCTGCTATATTTATGTTGGAAAATATAGCACAGTGGACAAACACTTTGCTGCATTTATTTCTGAATTAAAAACTGGCATGTTTTAATTTTTTGATTAATATTGACAAAGTTATCTTATTATTTAGATATGCTATAATAGCCATGAGCACAAGACATGGGCAGTTGGCCTCATTTTCAACATTGATTATTAGGACAAGACAGTCGATTCATTAATCAAATGCTGGCAGCTTTCAAAATACCAGGGAAATGACCAATACCCACAAAATCCAGGAATTAAGCTGTTATAATGATATCAAAAATTATTCTGTTGATATTGTATAAACTCTTGTGCTAAAAACACAATGATAATGTGCCCCATAGCACTCTTGTGTTAATAAAACAATGATAATGTGCCCATAGCACTCAGTGGAGGGGACAAACATAAAGGCACAAATCACTAAGGTGTTGTCCTAGGCTGTAAATATATGAGGAAAGATCTTTTAATTTGTCAATCCAAACAGTTCCCCTTGGCAGATCATGTTTTTGAGGTCCAGTTGACAATTATTTGTCATTTGGTGCCTTGCAGCCCATCACAAATGCACATTATATAATTTTGAAACTTAGTAGTGTTAAAATTTAAACATTGAAAAATGTTTATGTTCTGCTTTATTTAAGGTGCGGTTCCTCTCAATGTTTGGTGGGGCAGTTGTGCGGGAAACTGTTGGCCGCTTGATGAAAGAAACCATGTCAAATGAACTGGCAAGAATGTACAATATGAAGGGTCTGAAGAGGAAGAAAAAATGTGGGGGCCTCCAGATACTGAATGTATTGTATAGTAAGTGATATTTTAAGAATTTGCAAAGTGGTGTCTTTAAGTAAGGTTTCAAAATAGATTTATTATCCAAGATCTTTTATTGTGTCTTCGGGTATCGCTTTAATGAAGGAAAATGCTTGACTAGCTTTAATGGAAAATAATAAGAGAGAATATTTTACATACTGTGTGGTTTTGATCCCATGCATTGTGTTGTGATGCATAATATAAGCAGAAATCACCTTCCTGTAAAGCAATTTATTTGCTTACCTTAACATTTATTACTGATACACCGATATTAAAGATGATCTCAGCTTACAACTGACTGCAGCGGGGACACAAACATATATATTTATTAAAACATACCAGAATTAGTTTATATATTCCAATTTATACTGCTCAAAATGCTACAAGGTGACTTATGACCTTTGAATGGTTTCAATACCTACATTTCACTGCATTTCATTCTTTAAGGATAAGGATGCTTAATGTTTTGTAGAATTTGTCCAAAGGAACTTGCCGACAAAGACTGCAACGAGGAAGGATGTAGAAATAGAGGTTTCAAAGTGGCTGGCTGGGGCGCGGGACCACGATGCGGGAAGGAAAGCAAGAAACAAAGTGTCTGAGACCTTACCTGAAGCAAATGAAGGAAGTGACTAGTCATGTCTTTATTTTAAACAAGAACGTGTTTGTTAAACACAAATGCCCCAAGCTCAGATTCTTGTCAGTATTTTCCTACCAAATATGAAATACATCTGTCATTAAATAAAGGCTGTATGGGCAAAAGTGTAAAAATCTATTATGAGCACTGGTGACAGATGAAAACATCAAAAGAACTTCATGAGGTTATAATATCTATGCATAATAAAATAAAATCTCAAGGACAGCCCTTGAAGACAAACTAATAATAGCTCTAGGACCGAGTACATACGCCAACAAGTTTAAGATGAACAACATACAAGAGCTGTCACACGGGAGACAGCAAAGCTCGACTTATAAAATACTGGACGCAGTAAGGAAGACAAATCTTAGAATGAAAGAAAAATCAATTATGTATAATTATGTTTTAAGTTATAGTATAAAAATAATATTGTAAACTAAATTCCAAGATCAAGGGGAATAATTCTAGAAATAGTCACGCTAGAATTTTGAACCTTGTCACACAACATGTGTGGCTGAGGATGAACAAGAAGTCGATTCGGGCAATATTGCTGACTGGGAAACTCCATTGACGGTACTTATTTTATCATACCTTATAAATGTAATGTATCTGCATTTACACAGATCTTTTAAGTTTTTAAAATATTTATTGTAAAGGTCATTGTTCACTCAGGTGAGCAATACAAGGACACCATAGCCTTCTTGTTTGGAAAAATACAAAACAATCTAGATATCCTGAACTTTTTATGAAATATTTAGCCCAATTATAACAATACATTCATCCTTGTTCCAGTGTTTGTGCATTTGAATGAAAAGTTTAGTTATACCAATGCTCATTTTAATTTTTGATCACTTGCGGTTGAATAGTTTCCTTTTTTCTAAATTTTAACCATCTGGACACAAGAGAACCCTTTTGGCTAACGGATATGAGGTTTACCTGGCACAAGGGAAAATGTCAGCTTCCCTTATTATTGGGGACACTCCTAGAAAATTGACAACGGTGCTGCTCGAGTGTTTATTTCCGACAAAGGAAAATGCAAAGGAAAAAGGACAGCACACAATGCCAAAGAGGAATCAAGAGCGGTTCCTGGAACTGTTATATTTCTGCAATTAAAGAATTTGTTCTGAACAAATTTAAGCAAGAAAATAGACAGCCATGCCTTACTGATAAAGAGTTCACTGAGATTATTAATGCTAAACGTGGGACAGTCAGAAGAGCACTGAAGAAAAACACTTCTAGTCCTCGCATCTGGTACATTTAACAAAACAAGGGTTATAATTTTGAAAATTATGCTCTTATGGGCAGATGTAAGCCAGGCCCATGCTGTAATGAAAAATTATTGGAATTCCTTGGAGATTTATAATTTTGCTGGGATTACACATTTTCAGATGATTTGCAGAATTATTGTCCTTTGTATATGTTTTTTTTTTTTCAAATATGTAAGACATGTGTATAACAAGGTTATCATACAATACAATATTGAATTGTAAGCAGCTGTCAACCTTTAGTGCCTTGTCCAATTTAGTTTTGCAGTTTTCCAATAGAATCAGTATAACTGTATTGAACCCAACAATGTGTACGACTTAGTTTCACAAAAATAATTTTGACAGAACTCTATTCGTGCTGGTATCAAATAAATTTGAAATGAACTTTTCGATTTTTGAAATTTTTTGCTTTCCACATAATATGTATCGACAGTAATCATACTGATATTTTTATACATTCTAATCCACTTTATTTTGTTATTTTCTTAAAATTTCATGTTTATTAAATTATTCTGTTCAGTTTACATTGTTGTCTGATTTATAGCTCAGCTGTCACATTTTGACTGAGATCTTGTGGTCACCTGTTGTCCAACATTTGGTGTAAATGCCTACCAAAAAACCTTTTATTATTATTAGGGTTAATAAGTTGTTTAGCTAGCTCAAGATTGCAGCTGCGATTTAATAAGTTTGCAGGTGCGATTTAATAAGTTTGCAGCCGCGATTTAATAAGTTTGCAGCTGTGAACTAGTATACTTTTTTAACATTGGCAAGCTTGCAAATCTGCGAACTAGTTAGCTTACAAGTGTACAAGGCTAAGCTTGCAAGTATACATAGGTAAACTTGTAAGCGTGTTATGGTTCCAAAAGCAAGCTTGCAAGCGTGTGGTAATCTAATAAGCTCACTGCAAGCTTGCAAGTTAATTATTACGAGCTTGCGCTAAATGCAAGCTTGCAAGTGTGCGCCAATCTAATAAGCTCGCTGCAAGCTTGCAGATTACATAAATGTGAGCTTGTGCAAGCAGTAAGCTCGCAGTTGCATGCTTGCAGCGTGCTTATTTAAGTTTGTTTAGGTTCCAAATGCAAGCTTGCGCAAGCTAGTTTCAGCGTCTTTCTTGCACGCTTCATACGATCTTGTAGCGAGCTTACAATTTTGGTTTGGGTGGTTGATACATAGATCTACCATCTTTTCTTAATATATAGAATACAGCTTTCGGGGTACGTATATAAATTTGTTATTAATCATAAAAAAAAAACACAAGCAGGAAAATAGTTCTAGAGACGAGAAATTCAGATGAGCGTCTGCACCAGCATGGCGGTGCTCTGGTCATAATATGACTTACTGATTGTTTTGTTCTTGACAGCTATCATTATTAAAGAAACAATTGAAGTGCTCCTCATAATCTGCTGCATGTTTGTTGTTGCAACTTGAATAATGGTGTACAGCCGGCTACATTTCCAAGTTAATATCAGGTAAACCTGTTGATCCCTGGTTTTCCTTGTTAAAAGTTCAGCATGTTTGTAGCAAGATTAAGTGTTAAGTATCTGTTTCAGGTCTAAGGCTACTACTGATTTGATATGCCTATTGACGTAATTATGGGCGGTTTATAGGAGGCAGGGGATATAGCTGTCATTAAGAAAGGTTGGTAATTGTTTAACAAGTATAGTTGAAATGCATAAGTGACCAGGGATTGATATGTCACTGAACTAACTGCCTTGATATTACTGAAATATTTTGGACACAGGGCATTAATCTTCAAACACTCGCACATATTAGACTGCTTCTTTATCTTGTTCTACATGTTTTAAGACTGTCATGACTATGTCATTAAACATTTCAACCAGTATCATCTGCTTTTTAGATTCAACAGACCTGACGGACCAGACCAGCATTTGCTTTGACGCAGCATTGGACAAACCAACAGCAGCACTTGACACAGCAACACTTGACACAGCAGCACTTGACACAGCAGTATTTGACAAACCAGCACTTGACACAGCAACACATGACAACAGTACAACATATAACAAACACAAGAAATTAAAACCTGGGACAAAAATTCAATGCGCCAGTAAGGGTGAGAAATATAAAAGACAAAAGCAAGCTCTGAGAATGCAAAAATCCAGAGCATTGAAGACCATCCAAAAATGTTCCCAGAAATTGTGTAAGCAATCAATTGAACCAGTCAAACTTGTTTTCTTAATAAAAGAATTTAAAAAAAAAATAAGTACAAGTATTTTGGAACAGGTTCCTTACTGAAAAAGTTGGTAAGTGGCAAAGGACATCTTGATCTAAACGGGAAAACCAAGAAGTTACATGTAGAAGGGAAAGAAAAAACTACCCAAGACTTGACTACGGGGAAATACCCCTTCAGCTTCACAGGAAGTCTAGTGGAAGACCGTAGACAGAAGCTTGATAATGTTGAAGTTCAGCCAGCAACTTGGCACCTTATCTGTTGCTCTGTATAATAAACTAATTTAATGTGATGTCCTCACAGACATCTGGCATTTGGAAGCGGAATATATCTCACGATATCTTAGAACATGTATAAAATAGCTAGGTTTAAAATGACAGGTTTTTGCCTAAAAACAGCATATAAATACATCTAGATCTGTTTAAAATAAATACTTTCTTGCATGATTTATTCATTTTGAATTGTGGTGTGTAGTGTGCTATCAAGCAGATGGAGTACTCGATGTGCAGCGAAAAGAAATGTTAGTTCCAGAGGACAACCAAGAAAGATGCGGAACAACATTTATGTATTGGGGAAAGATGTACAGCAAAATACATAGACAATTATGTCTATCCTCCAACTTTAGTATTTGATTCAGGTTTGTTTGTACAAATATTTCACTTTCTTATTCCTGGCTGCATGAGTCATGTCATTAACTTCAAACCACTTGCCCCTCATCAATCACTGTAAGTTTGAATCCCGCCAGGGACTGTCTTTCATGCGAGTGAGCTGTTCAGCTCGCTAACAAAACATTGGTGATCTTACTCTGGTGCCTGCTTTTGTCTGAATATATAGTGAATGACGCCACACATGCAGGTCAAAGGGATTGTGGATGTTACCTTTTGATAAGAATAATTATATTTCTTAAACAAGAGGGCCATGATGGCCCTGAGGTCGCTCACCTGTATATAGCCCCCCCCCCCCCCCCGGCCCAATTTTTACCCAAGGGCTTTTATTTGAACAGACTTGGTAGACACCCATAGCAAGTTGTTTCATGCAAAACATCTAAGTTCTAGCTCATTGGGTTTTTTAAAAGAAGATTTTTTAAGTTTTTACTATACACATATAGTTAAAAACAATGAAACCCGCGGGCAGGGCCAGTTTTAACCCCTGGGCTTTTATTTGAACAAACTTTGTAGATATTTACTTAAAGATGTTTCATGCTTAATATCTAAACTCTAGCTCTAGCTCTTACAGTTATTTAAAAGAAGATTTTTTAAGTTCTTACTTTATGCATATAGAGAAAATCAATGACCCCCTGTGGCGGGGCCAATTTGGACCCCAGGGCTTTCATTTGAACAAACTTGGTAGACATTCACCAGAAGATGTTTCATGCCAAATATCTAAGCTCTAGCTCTTACAGTTATTTAAAAGAAGATTTTTTAAGTTTTTACTATATGCATATAGGGAAAATCAATGACCCCCTGGGGCGGGGCCAATTTTGACCCCAGGGCTTTTATTTGAACAAACTTGGTAGACATTTACTAGAAAATGTTTTATGCCAAATATCTAAGCTCTAGCTCTTACGGTTCTTTAAAAGAAGATTTTTTAAGTTTTTACTATATGCATATAGGGAAAATCAATTACCCCCCAGGGTGGGGCCAATTTTGACCCTAGGGCTTTTATTTGAACAAACTTGGTAGACATTCACTAGAAGATGTTTCATGCCAAATATCTAAGCTCTAGCTCTTTGGGTTCTTTAAAAGAAGATTTTTTAAGTTTTTACTTTATGCATATAGGGAAAATTAATGACCCCCTGGGGCGGGGCCAATTTTGACCCCAGGGCTTTTATTTGAACAAACTTGGTAGACACTCACTAGAAGATGTTTCATGCCATATATCTTAGCTCTAGCTCTTACAGTTCTTTAAAAGAAGATTTTTTAAGTTTTTACTATATGCATATAGGGAAAATCAATGACCCCCCGGGGCGGGGCCAATTTTGACCCCAGGGCTTTTATTTGAACAAACTTGGTAGACACTCATTAGAAGATGTTTCATGCCAAATATCTAAGCTCTAACTCTTAGGGTTGTTTAAAAGAAGATATTTAAAGATTTTTCTTTCGGTTGCCATGGCAACCAGAGTTCTGCATGGAATTAAATTCTTTGAACAATTTTTAAAGGTGACCACCAAAGGAACATTCCTGTGAAGTTTGGATAAAATTGGCTCAGTGGTTTATGAGGAGATGTCTTTTAAAGCAAAAGTTTACGGACGGACA